AATAGTCAAGCCTAATTTAGTGTCAAGAGAGAGTAGTACATAAACAGGAGAACCAGAGCAGACAGCTGACAACACGCGTGACGGTTTCCATTTCCCTCAGTGACAGATATTGTCTTAGCCTGTCAGATTTGCCAGCTACGGATGAAAAATGAATACCATTAAATGATGAGGTGTACAGAAAATTCCAGCATATGAAGATAAGAGACAGACAACAATAAAACATCTGGTCTGACAACCAAAATCACGTCTGCAGACTCTTAAAAATTATTATTGTTCTATGCCTTCATAATGCTAGAAGAATCATACCTTCTTTTTCCAGTCTATTGTTATTCGTTATTATTCCCTTAAGATTTATTACATTCTTAAATTAAATTAAATATAAATATAAATTCAGCACACTACTCAAACTTACAAGAATATATATATATAGAGCGAGAGAGAATCAGTGTTATTTTAGCATCACGTAGATGCTACATTATAGTATAGTTTGTTTTTTTATTATTTTAAAATTTTAGTCATTTCATATTTATATTAAGTTATTTTAGAGCATCAAGTTAAACTAAGTGAAAATAAAAATGTTGGCAACTATCTAAAAATTGTCAGTTATGGACTTTTGGTTGTGTTTCTCTGTTCCTGTTCTCCTGCCTTGTTTAGTTCCATTGCCCCAGTTTCTGATCAGTCCTGATTTTCTAGTTACTTGTGATTTGCAGCTGTCACTCATTCATTAGTCTCCTTATTTATACTCCCTGTTCTGTTCAGTCGTTGCTGGTTATTTTGCCTTATCATTGTGTGTGGTACATTTGGGCCTGCGATTCTCCCGTGTGTATTCCTTGTGGATTTATAATTAAAAGATTATTTTTGGATAATACTCCTTCGTTGTGTGCTTTAAATAGCACTACACGTTACAGAATAACCGGCCACAAAGTTAGTATTTACGGCGTTTCTCCTTTAGTTTTGTCCTTTTTTTATTTTTTAAGGGATTTGTCTGTTGTAAAGCTCCTCTGCCTGGAGCAAGGGGATTGCTGCCTCAAGGACCACACAATGGACTTTTTAGATCTTGCTTACCTAACACATTTCCCAGACAGCTGTACTCCTTTAATTTCATCAGACTGAACACCTCGATAAAGGCAAAGCTGTCCGGGGAAAATCCTTGAGGGAGTTTTGCGCATTTGTGGAGAGGGTGCTGGAGAGTAATGGACTATATTTCTCTGTCTGCCCTGCTGAGAGGGACATCTCCAGCCCCACTCCCGACCCAGAGCCCAGCCAGCCATCACCACTCAGCTGCACGGAGCATCTGCCTGAGCCCACCGCAGATGGAGAGCTCGAGCCCTTTGCAACTGAAGCCGTGCCTCCACTGGTTCTTGTCAGTCCCTCAGTTCACCCTCAGTCAGCACCATCAGGGCACTATGATTCGCCTCTGGCCTTCCAGTCTCCAGCTCTGCCTAGGCATGAGGATACCCTTTCTCCGCCTCCAGCCTTCGAGTCCTGGACTCACTCCACCTCGTTTCTCCAACCCATTGGCTCCACCTTGGCTCCTTGCTCCCTCGTCTCCACCATCATCCCACTGGGTTCCCTCGTCCCTCCGGCTCCGCCTTGGTCAGTCGTCAACCTTCCTCCGCTACGGGATTCTACTCCTCCGGCTTTGCCTCGTCCCTCCATCCCTCTGGCTCCATCGCGGTCTTCCGGGTCCCCGTCTCTGCCTCGCTCGCATTAGCTGTCAGCTCTGCCTTGGCCCTCCGGACCTCGAGTGTCACCCTGGCTCTCCGTCTGTTTGGCTCCACCTCCAGCGGCTCTGTCTCCATCGCTCGTCCCCAAGGTGTCGTCTGCCAAGTTTCCACCATGGCTCCTCCCTCGACTCCACCCTGGGGCCTCGGCCTGACTGGTCTCTGGACCAACACCTGGCTCCTCCCACCATCAGCTCCACCCTGGTCTCTCCATCCACCTCTTCCCCTGGTTCCCTGTCCTGCATGTCCTCCGCAATCCTCCTCCAGATCCCCCTCCCTCCCACCTCGTGCCTTCTGGGAGGGAGGGGGAGCTACTGTCACAGTTATGGAATTTTGGTTGTGTTTCTCTCTCTTCCTGTTCTCCTGCCTTGTTTAGTTCTGTTGCCCTAGTTTCTGATCAGTCCTGATTTGTTTCTATGTTAATTATGATTTGCAGCCGTCACTCATTCATTAGTCTCCTTATTTATACTCCCTGTTCTGTTCAGTCATTGCCGGTTATTTTGCTTTACAATTGTGTGTGTGTTACGTTTGCTCCTGTGACTCTCCTGTGCATATTCCTTGTGGATTAATAATTAAAAGACTATTTTGGATAATACTCCTTTGTTGTGTGCTTTAAATAGCACTACACATTACAAAAATTGTTTAAGTTTTTCATATCTTATTTTAATTTCCGTTAATGTTTATTTTATTTGTGAAAAATGTATGGTTATAATTTTAGTTTTAATCAAATATAATAACCCTATATATATAGCCTACGTATATGATTTAGGTGTGTGAGGCATAGATATATTTTTATCTGTTTTTTATACAGTTAATTTGATAAATTACAAATGCAGGTTTTTTTGGAATAACATGCACTGATGAGTCAAGCTGAGTGAGACCAGGAACATTTAAGAAAATAATAAAGCCAATTTTGACTTTGTGTTGAAGGGTATGTGAGCAAAACCCCAGTGTGCTGTGAAATATAATAGCTTCACTCTCTCCGGTTAATCTGCAGAACATCGACATTCAAAACTTCTCATCCAGCTGGAGTGACGGCATGGCATTCTGCGCCCTGGTCCACTCTTTCTTCCCCACAGAGTTTGACTACAACGTCCTGTCCCCTGTTGACCGCAAACATAACTTTGAGTTGGCATTCAGCACTGCAGAGTAAGTCACTGGAATGAAGGCAACTCTGTTCAGCCTTTTCACAATAGCATTGAGATGTCAACACACTTCATGGTGCCTTAACCTCTTAAGTTGAGTAGTTTGTCTTACTGTCATCCAATCAGTCACTGAAAAGGGTAGATGACAGAGAGAGAAAAAAACAATTAACAAGAAATATGATTTTTTTTAAACAAAAATATTAAACAGCACAATTGTTTTCATCATAGTTAATAGTAACAATATTTCTTGAGCAGCAAATCAGCGTATTAGAATGATTTCTGAAGGATCATGTGATACTGAAGACTGGAGTAATGAATGACTATTGAAAATTCAGCTTTGCCATCGCAGGTATAAATTACATAAAAAAAATTCAAACCCATAATGTGTGAAGCTCCAAAATACACAAAAATCTGCATAAAATGATCAAAAACAGGTCATTATGAAAAGAGTTTTGTAAAGATTCTTGTAAAAATCCCCCTTTACGTTCTATGGAAAAATAAATAAATAAAACTCTGTAATGACATACGGGTGAGTAAATAAAGACAGCATATTGATTTTCATTTAAAAGCTCTAATAAAGTATTAAAAGTCTTTAAATAGAAATAGGCCGGACAGATGAGATGTGAACTTAACGTGACCCGACCTAAAAAGCTGAACAAAATGATTCCAAAATACAAGTTGACACAAATCATCTGCAGTTGTGCTCCACATCACCTCACAGTAGGGCACAGAAGATAATGTTACTTAGTTTCCGATGCGTCTGAGTCTAGGGTGTCCGTAAAGCACACTTTAAACCACTAAAATCCCTGTTGAGCTCAAAGGAACCTCCTCTTCCCCTTGAACGGCTACTCCGACCGGACAGCCCTGGCCTGCAGCATGGCATCATGCTCCTACCACTCCTGTGTCCCAATTCCCACATCCTGAAATATTCACATACGCCTATGACTGCACTACCAACGTCATCTGAACATATGTATTACACTCATCATATTAACTTAAACAGTCAACGAACATAGAGAATGAATAGAAACAGCCACACACGTCCAACCATGTCAAATCTGTTTCTCTGTATTTCCAGGAAGAAAGCTGGCTGCGATAGGCTCATTGAAGTGGAGGACATGATGGTGATGGGCAGAAAGCCAGACCCCATGTGTGTCTTTACTTACGTCCAGTCGCTATATAACCACTTGCGCAAGTTTGAGTGAGATCTCGGCCTCTTCAGCCCCAGTTGAACCCTCTGCACTGCCTCCTGCTGGACAAAACTGAACTTTGATATAGTCACTATGGTATGGGGTTGCAAAATGTCCACGGGAACCCACACCATTTCAATCATGTACGGTTGCATTTTAGTCAAGAAAAGGTCATTGACATGGCTTTTGTGTATGACACGCTCTTTTTTTTTCTTTTTTTTAGAAATGGTGGCCTCTGATTTATTACTAAACAGCTTGAAGTTAAAGGAATAGTTCACCCAAAAATTCAAATTTGCTGACGGTGCACTCATACTCGGGCCATTCAAGCTGTTTGTTCTTCATTGGAACAGATTTGGAGAAATCTAGCATTAAATCACTCGCTCACCAGTGGATCCTCTGCAGTGAATGGGTGCCGTCAGAATGAGAGTCCAAACAGCTGATAAAAACATCACAATAATCCACACGACTCCAGTCCATCAATTAACGTCTTGTCTGCATGTTTGTAAGAAACAAATCCATCAAAACTTTTTTAACTTCATGAGGAATGAGTCCTCTGTTATAATATTGCTTTGTCAAGTGAAAAAGTTGTCTTGTCTGAATCAGGAAAGAAAGCTGCACAGATCAAGCACCATTTACAAGTGAAAACAGTTCAGGACAACAGGGGATGGACCTTTTCATTGGAGGAAGTGTTATTATGGATTATGGACTCATATTTTGGCCAAAAGCGATGACAGTTTAAAGTTGAAATGCCTTGATGTATTTGTTTATTAAAAACACAGCTTTTTGACGTTAACTGATGGAATGAAGTCGTGGATTATTGTGATGTTTTTATCAGCTGTTTGAACTCTCATTCTGACGACACTTATACACTGTAGAGAATCCATTGGTGAGTAAGAGATGTAATGCTAAATTTATCCAAATCTGTTCAGATAAAGAAACAAACTCATCTACATCTTAGATGGCCTGAGGGTCAGTACATTTTTGTTTTTGGGTGAACTATTATTTTAGGCTAGTGGATTATGGAGCCAATTTATAGACTGCAAAGATAGGGACATTTAAAACATTTGTTAGCAGATTTCATATTTACTAATGAAAGATAGAAAGAAATAGCAAAATGTACAGTTAATAACATACAATATATCCTTTGTTCTTAAATAGACTGGCACATTTTTTATTACCGTTTTGTCTTTTTTTCTAATTTCGAGTGGCATAAGAGCAAAGTTTCATACGCCACCTTGAGCTGCACATTTCTGGTTGTTTTTTTATGAGTTTTTGTGGCTTTGCCAAAGCTCAGATACACAGGTGCATGTTCAGGACGTACGGTACACAACATACAGTAAGCACTGGATCTGCATTGTAACTGGAAATGCTGTAAAAATCTGTTTAAACAAAGCTGGTCTCTCAACAATGATCATCACCAGGGAGTGTGATTTAAATGTTTTTTTTGTTTTTGACTCAACTTAGCTTGAATGTTTTTTATTATTTTCTTGTAAAAAAAATTTTTTTTCCCACACTACATTTTATGAGTCGGCAATAAACAAAGCACAAATGTTTCTTAGTCACAAGTGAAATAAAGAATAACACTCCTGTAAAGGGCATTCAAATAAATACGAACATAGATGTGAATAACAAGACAACATGATCATATTGTACCTTCTAGTGTCTTGAGTTCAAAGAAGTGGTTTCCAAAACCACTTAATTGACTAATTAAACTGTTGATTAATTCTAAACTTTCTGATTAATTCTTGCACATTTCAGTATAAAGGATTTCTTCGTAAAAGCTTTTATAGTCTATATTAGATCAAGACTAATCACTCAACCTCACAGTTTTGATTTGGAGAGAAACTAATCAAACTGAAAAAGAAGCTGTACAGAGAAAAGCATTGATGATTACACACAAAAATATGGAAATATTGGATGATTTTAGTTGGTATTAGGGCTCTCCAAGTTCTCCCTCCATAGTCCGGACCAGAACATAAAGCTCAGCAAGACCGACAACAGACGCTGCAATCACTGCAGCTATTACTCTCTGAAAGAAAACACAGAGACATTAGAAATATGTTTTGTTCCAAAGCACCTAACCTCATTAACTGTGCATTAATGGTGTGAATGCTGTGTGCACTTACGGCTGTCGTCTCGGTGAAGATATACTGGCTGCCCAGATATGAACAGGCAAATGCTGCAACTACAGTTACCAGGAAGTTGAATACAGTAACAACAACTGCCTTCACAGAACGCACTGCATGATACAAAATGACACGTAAGATGAACAAGACAGAGAGACATTGAAAATGAGAAGAGAAAAAGGGAAAATCCTGACCTTGTCGTCCAAAATCTGCTAAAGTTCCATGATTTTTCATTTCCTGTTGGGCAAAATATAAATATACTGACATGATTTTCAAAAACACATGTTTGAAATAAAGACTGTAGAAGAGCGGTCACCTGTGGATTTACATTCCGTGTTATTCTCTTATATTCTTCATTAGCAAGTTTTGCTTTAATTTTTTCTAGGCGGGCCACCAGCTGGGGGTTCTGTTGGGTGGAAATAAATAACTATGATTATCAAGCTTAAAACAGTGAAAAATATCAGTTCTAATATTAACATAAATTCAGATAGTAGTGAAGAATTCTCACTTACCCTGGGAGGTGTGATGACTTCCGGAAGATGAAGTGTGCTGTCCTCAAACAATTCATGAAGATACACTGGATGTCCTACAAAAACAAGACACGGCTTGTAATGAGCAAATACATCAAAACGTTAATTGCTCTATAAAATGTGCATGTTTCTTACCATTTTCTTGAAGAAGCTTGTGTAGTTTTCTCACAGTCTTGAATGGTATGATGGACTGATCTGTCAGAGCCTTCAATTCTTCCTTCAGCTCTTCTGATATGGCAGATTCTCTCTCCAGCAAATCTCTCGCCTTCTCCTGAAATCTCTCTCCGATTTTAAACGAAGAAGCCATGATAACAAAGATGCCTGCTAAAGATCAGGACACCTTAACGTGCACTTAGTAGTATATATATCACAGTAATGTATCAGGTTATGTGGACACTAAATAGAAAAGTAGCGGAAAGCAAAAAGGAACTTCCTCGTTTAATGTATCAAAAAACTAAAACTACACTCAAATCAGCGTCACAAATTATGTAAATAGGAAATATTCCAAACTAAACTATGTTGTTTAGTTACTCTAATATAATCATATTTTATCTTACTGTAAGCATGTTTCCTGTTTACAGCCCTTCTTCTTCTTCTCTTAGTTAATGGCGGATTTCAAACAACTTTTAGGTGCATACCGCCACCTACTGTACAAGAGTGTGTAACACCATGTCATTTTAAGTGTCCTCAAACTTCAGCGTGTTTATTGACCGGTTGCAAACCAACTACATAATCGCACAGCGCCACCTACAGTCAAGGAATATATTCGGCCTTTTTTGATTGAGGCGCAAGACAGGTTTTTGTTTAAAATATTTTATACTTAAAGGAATTTATTAGAATAAATTGAATTATTTGTAGAGAATATTTATTGACTAGATTTGGTTTTACTATGTTTCACATTTATTTATACGATATTTGGCGAAAATAATATAAAATTAATAATATAATATTCTTCTGTTTTATTTGCGGCGACAAATAAAACATTTTCTAAACACAGAGAAAAGTTGGGGTCAGTATTATGAATTATATAAATAGTAAAATCCAACGTCTCCTTACACGAGCGCAATGCCGAAATAAATGAAGAACGTTTCAGCAGAACTAGGCCTGTCGCAATAATCAATATATCGACTTATCGCGCAATATATGTACATGACCTCAATAATTTTTGGTGACGCAATATATCGCACATTATATTTACTTACATATTAATGTCACCATGTTTTGTGTATTCCACTTCGCCTGTGTCTTTTGCAGCTTCTCTTACATAACTTGGTGAAGTCATCATGAGGTGCTAGTTCAAATTTTAAAAGTGCTTCTACAAACAAAGTTTCATCTGCAGATATGGCCTTGTTTAGGGATCTGTGCCTTTGTGCATACGGACATCTGACTGCTAAGTAGTGATTGTGTGTGCACCCTTTAATTTAAAGAGAAAAGAAGGTCAGGGAAAAATCTGTAGATGGAAAAATCGCCATACAAGTGCATTTTTCTTTTTTTCTACTTGCACTTTTTGTTAAAAAAAATGTATTTACTATTTATTCAGGTTTTTTAAGGTATTTCGTATTTTGATACTTAATTTCCATGATCTAAATATTCTTAAAAATCTAAAGTTTGTTGTCATTTGGAAGTGTGTAGGCCTTCTTGCATTATTATGCTGTTACATTAAAAAAATGTCAATAATACCGCTTATCGCAATTATTTCTGGGGCAATATATCGCACAACAAAAAGTTGTTATCGTGACAGGCCAAACAGAACGTTAACATCACAGACATAATAAATATGTATTATGTCTATCATGGTTAACATGACCTATGTGTAGTATCGACGTGTTCCGGTCGCAGTGCATTATGGGAAATTGTGTGCCACTTTGTAATGTCCAAATTGCAATAAAAGTAATAACTTAATTAAGTGTCATTTCAAACTTTTACTTTTCAATATTTCAGAATTTCACGCGCTTTAAATGTGAGATTTGGGTTTAACATGTATGATTTTGATTATGTCCATGTGTTCGTGTGCAGATAGCTAAAGGAAGATGGCAGCGTGTGCAATACGACGGGGCTTATTGTCCATTGCTAGTAAATATAACCAGCACAAATGCATTCACAGAACACTGAGTGCAATAGACTTCAGCAGCGGATTCAATCCGAAAAGAGCCCAGCCGTTGTGTTCAGCCTGCGGGTTGTCCAGTTTTCAGCAGACGAGGTTTATGTCATCACGGTAAGAGCTAGTAAAGCGAACCGAACATCCTACCATGTCCTCCTGTTTCTTAACTGCGCAGAGCTGTAGTGTCAGCAAATGATGACAGTAAATAGTTTTACGATGTGTCTGTGAAATGCATTCATGTTTATTAAGAATTTAATATCGGCTGTCATGTGTTTTAATATTAGCTGTTGCTATAGTTTGAAGGATTCACATGTTTGCATACCTGCAACACTATTGTTTCACTGCTCAACTTTGTGGTTGTACAGCTTGGCTGGACGCCTGAATCATGAATCAGATGTGTTAATCACACTGCTTCTGAGTTGAGTTTAAAATGCTGTTGGAATAGGACAGATTCCAATACACAAAACGAGGCCTACAAGAGGGACAAACCTCAGCCTTGCTTTCAAACCCCCCAAAGCCATTCTTGAGTACATAAGTGACAGTCTGGGCCTGAGCCAACAGACAGTAAACAAGTCCTATTTCTGTGGTCAGCACACGTCTGTCTAGTTTAGTTCACTATGAAACTTTCAGGTTCGATGTGGTCTGTGTCCAAATCCTTTTTTTTTTTTCAGATGTTGCGCAATATTCAACCTCGTTGACCACAAGTTGGCTGGGATGTTGAATTCAATGGTATCATCTACTGTCCCATACATATATATATATATATATATATATATATATATGTGTGTGTGTGTATATATATATATGTATATGTATATGTATAATTTAATATCAGATATATATATATACACATACATATTTACACACACATACAAAAAAAATGACCAAAAAATTGTTCCAAAGCATTTTTCTTTAAATATATTTTCTACCAATATTTTTGGCATTTTTTTTTGTAAATTTTGAAAAATATTTTTAAAATATGTTTAAACATTTAAAATTATATTTTTCCCTCCGTATATTTCAATCCAAGAAAATACTTTCACATATGTCACATTTGAAGAAAAACATACTTTACAAGGAACATACTTGACAATGTTCCAAAAAAATTACAATATATAAAAAAAATTAAACATTATTAAATCATTAAGAATCTATTTTGACCTCTAGTGGGCTATTCCTACTATTTGCCTGTAGTCTAAATTGTAGGCTACTGTAAGATTGGAAATCTATTTTCTTGCTCGTGAAATACATTTTGAAATATTTCTTGCTGTATTGGTATCCCACAATGGGATATTACAATTTATATATATTTTTAATTGATTCATTCTTGGCAGAAACAGACCGGAAGGGAAAATACTGGAGCCTGTTGGAGTATTTGAAGCTCTGAAGCAGCACGGCAAATATGAAACTGGTCAGGTCAGTGAACATTTTTTATTCCAAAACCCATGATTCTGATTTCTCTGATGTCAATATTCTAATTCTAAATGTGCATTCCACAGCTATTCCTACACAGTGTTTTTGGCTATAGAGGCATTGTGTTATTCCCTTGGCACGCTCGTCTTTATGATCGAGACGTGAGTCCTGCTGCTGACAGGTATGTAGTGAAGGACGTTTTTGGGCTTATACCTGATTAAATGATTTGGTTTGTGATACAGCTCAATGGTCCTGTTTGTTGTTTGCTTTTTCAGCAAACCAGACTCTGTGGGCCATGGGTCGAAAGAAGTGAAGGGCAAGATGCATACATACTACCAGGTCCTCATAGACACCAGAGACTGCCCTCACATAGTAAGTGGCATCAAACGACATATGCAAATAGTGAACTAATGTAGTGTACATATTGCCCCATAAGATGTTTGAACACTTAAGCCATGCTTCTTAAAGGAGACATATTATGCCCCTTTTTACAATATGTAATATAAGTCTCTGGTGTCCCCAGAATGTGTCTGTGAAGTTTCAGCTCAAAATACTCCACAGATCATTTATAGTATCATTTTGAAAAGGTCTATTTTGAGTGGAAGCAGAAACACACTTTTTTTCGTGCCTGTCTCTTTAAATGCAAATGAGCTGCTGCTCCCCATTTTCCAGAATAGAGCTGCACCATTACAGCTCGTACCTGCTAAAAACATCTGTTTTGGTTCTGATTATCATGTTATTGCGCTGAAATCATTCATTTTAAACCATATTAGTTTAAACTTCTGATATACGGTTTTCTGAGCGCACACATCCGAAGCACACAGACAGAAAGCGGCTGTCACAGCATGTGAATACTAAACTAAAGGCTGATTTATACTTCTGCGTCGGACCTACGCCGTATGCTATGCGTCAGTTTTCATTTATACTTCTGCGTCGCTGTCGCGTCAACGTGCAGTACACATGCAAACCGCTAGTCAGCAGTGTCCACGGGCATGTTGCTGGTGTAACCCGCAGTACCACGGAAAAAGCCGAAGAAGAAGCATTATAGCCGTGACGGCGGCAAATAAATATCAAATCATTAAATCAATATTTAAAACTACAAAAAGGAGTCAACAACGGAACAGGAGATGATGGCATTCGTTCAATCTGCACAAGGACTTGTACCACGGCAGATCAACATTGTTTGTTGCGGACAACTACTGATGTGTAATGCTATGTAGTATAATAAATGATAAGACACTTGTTCTTTGCTTTGTTTTATTTTATATAAGAAGGTGTAACATTAAAATATATTAAAGTGCACACAAACACACCAAACTCAAGTAGATATGGAGGGAGGGGTTCTTGCAGACCAATCACAGCGCTTGCGGTCTGCGTAGAATTGACGCGCTGTTAGATTTTTGGAGAGGTGCATGTCAGGCTACGGCGTATGCGTGTGCGTCTATGCGTAAGCTACGGCGTAGGTTCGACGCAGAAGTATAAATTGGGCTTTAGTTCTCATTCACAAAGTTTACGTAATAACACACATGAGCTACAAAAAACAGTCGGTTATTTCTGTGAACGTAAACAGCTGGGAAATAAATTGCATGTTTATTTTAGATGTGTGGCAGCAGCAATATACAGTAAATAAATCAATAAATCGTCTGCTCTCTCGTCTCCTCTCAGGCTGGGAATCTAAATCGTGTTCTGTGCTCTTCTGTGCAGACAAAGACAGAACAGTTAGCATGTTTTGCTCAAACTTTCGCCATGGCATTAGAACTAGTACACCGTTGTCACTTGCGAAATCAAATAATGGCGCTGTGGGTGGAAACTTACAGATTAAGGGGCGCTAATATTATAATGAGATCCCTTTGCCACGTCACCAAGGGAACAAAATCTAACGCGCTCGTTTTTTCAGACGCTTGCAGAAAAAGGCTTACCAAAACAAAGTTACTGGGTTAATCTTTTTCACGTTTCCTTGGTTAGTAGATGCACCGGGGACCTGATTATAGCACTTAAAACCTGGAAAAGTCTGATTTT